ATTAGAGAGATATAGCTGAAAGACTTGACTACTATTTAATAAATCATACACAAACCAAAAGTCGGAATTTCATGTTGAAAAGAGACCGACAATTCATTAAAAGAAAGAAACAAACAGCTATTTTTTTTTTACAAGAATAACAACTAAGGTTCACGATGATCCTGTCTACCAGCTGACCCTTAACTAAACATTTTGACACAGTCTCTTCCGGATTATTCGTATTTTCAATCTATCTAAATCATCTTTAGATAGAATGATATATTGGGTCGAATCATCTTTAGAACATTTGACTATGTTCCTTTAAAACTCCTGTTATTGAATCATCAAAGATGGAAAAAAAATTAAACGTCCAATTAAAATGAAATTGAAATATTAAAATGATACCATTATATATTTCAGGTGAAAATGTTCTTTTGTCAAAATGACGGCAAATAGAATACATAGATAGGCATGGTGTATATAGTAATTTATATGTGAACGTCACGCCGAGGATATTGTGGTATAGCTCACAGTCACTTCACTGATATAATATTATTGGTTCCACTGTCACGCTATGTTACATCACGTCACACTACATCGCGTCTTAACGTCACGCTATGTTACATCACGTCACACTACATCGCGTCTTAACGTCACGTTACGAACATTGAACCATACCGTCCATTTTGACGGTTTGACACGTCTTGTTGGTGTCGTTGTGCAAACCTTGATTTCGTGGATCAGGAATATTTTTTGAAAAATAAGATGACTTTGTTGAATGTAGGGCTGTTGACTTTTTGTTTTGTAAACTTTACAAATTTGAAAAAAAACATAAGAAAATGATGCTGAATTTTAAAGGACCATACGACATTTCAAAGCCTGTATAGTATTTCAATTACTATTATATACGTCATGGATAACGAATTTCGGAGTAAGGAAGGGGCACAATTTTTTCAGACGGAACTGGAATTTGGAATAGAAATACTTTCCATTTAAATAATTTATTTCTGTGACTGTATTATCTTCAGTCAATTGAAGTTTCTTATAAAGTCTCTATTTATTTTCTCAATTTAATTTATACACCAATAAACTAATATTTTGTTTCTATATTGTTTTCTATCACTGGCTCAATAATTAGCAGGATTTTATTATAATAAACCATTTGTCAACCACCATCCCATCTCTCATCTCTCAAAAAATCGTAAATGTTTCCTATCATTCCCCTATTTTCTCAAACTGCATGAAATTTGTGGCTCGAAAACACTCCAGAAGGCACAATTCTTGACAGATTTAGGTGAAACTTGTTGAAGTTGTTTATTATCACACCTTTACAAGATGATTAATTAATCTACGGTTGCCAACCACCAATATCCCCCTAATCCAGAGTTTTAATAATAATATTCGTAAACTGGAGTTATGTCCCTTTTCCTGAAAAACTTATTATGTAATGTAAGGTCGAAAATCACTGCTTTAAAGCTAGCGGAATGTTTCAAATACGTTATGTATAGGATGATCACGAGGTTAAATTTGATAATGATAGCTTGTGTTGCAAGGTAACATACGCCCACTGGCAGCTGTCAGAAATAATAAAACAGTCTTTAGTGACTAAAGTACGAATTTTCTCATATTTAAGAAATTATTTATGCTGAACAATTCCACAAAATGTTTTAAAAAAAATATCAATAACCCAAATACAACAAACAATTAAATCACACAGCTCTAATCAAGGGCAAAAAAAAACTGTTGACGCGTGTTTACAAAGTCAAGGGCAATAACTCAAAAAATGTTCATCAAAAATATCTCTTGTTAGAACTTGTCCGAGATCTTATCAATTCCAATGATCACACCAAGTTTCATCAGAATCGGTTGAAAACTGTAGCTTCTATTGTGCTCACAAACAAATTTTGACGCATTTTTCGTAAGTTAATGGCATTAACTTAAAAACATTTCATCGAAAATGCGTCAAGTTAGAACTTGTCCGAGATCTTATCAATTCCAATGATCACAACAAGTTTCATCAGAATCGGTTGAAAACTGTAGCGTCAATCCTGCTCACAAACTATTTTTAACAAATTTCGACGCATTTTAACAAAGTCATGGGCAATAACTGAAAAACCGTTCATCGAAAATGCGTCAAGTTAGAACTTGTCCGAGATCTAATCAATTCCAATGATCACACCAAGTTTCATCAGAATCGGTTGAAAACTGTAGCTTCAATCCTGCTCACGAACTATTTTTAACAAATATTGACGCGTTTTACAAAGTCAAGGGCAATAACTCAAAAACCGTTCACTGAAAATGCGTCAAATTAGAACTTGTCCGAGATCTTATCAATTTCAATGATTACACCAAGTTTCATCAGAATCGGTTGAAAACTGTAGCTTCAATCCTGCTCACGAACTATTTTTAACAAATTTCGACGCGTTTTAACAAAGTCAAGGGCAATAACTCAAAAACAGTTCATCGAAAATGCGCCAAGTTAGAACTTGTCCGAGATCTTATCAATCTAAAGCATCACACCAAGTTTTATCAAAATCAGATTAAAACTGTAGTCTCTATAGTGCTCACAAGAAATGTTGACGGACGGACCGACGGACCGACGGACAGGGGCGACGACAATATACGACCACATATTCATGTGGGCGTATAAAAACCCGAGGGAAAATGTTCCATCTGATTTATAAACCGGATTCAGTTATAGTGAAATAAGGGGTGCAACTCATATCTACAACGTGATCAATTCAGTCGACTGAATATGAATATTGAAAGTAGAAGTGTTCTAATGACTCGGAAAATACCAGTTTGTCTCACATATCCATAATTAATTCATAATTAGCTAAATTAGAAGAGAATTACCAGCAGAATTCCAATGAGTGAAAGGTCAAAAAGTCTTTTTTTTGTTTATCCAGACTGTACATACATGGACATTTATGATTGGTTAAAACTCTTAATTATATGCAATAACAACATAATGATATGATTAAGAATACATGAAAATTCATTAGAAACACCAATTAATCAAAAAGTTTGGGAAACCCATCTTTAACTGTCGGGTATTTTGAGGTGTGGCACCGCGGGGGCAATTCTTGTGTTACTCTCGATATTTTACAGCAAACCATTTTTACAACAGAACCACAGAACATAGCATAAGTGGCTGCCCCCTCTGCCCCCCTTTGGCTCCGCCACTGCATCTTAGTTTCAGTCACAAATCTCAACTGATTCCACTTGTCTTAAATGTTGGTCTACGCTGAAGAATCTACTACAGAATAGGCTTGTCCCGGAGGTTATTCTACAAACTAATGGCTTTCGGTGCTTGAGTCCATGTACTGAGTCTCTATTGAGTTGTCCTGGTGAGGATTTTATACCAAAAACATGTGTAATGTCATTGTTTATTATACCAGAATTTAGTCAACAGTAATTACGCCCTTCCTTCGTCCATTATTATTTCCTGAAAATCCCAATTCTTCTGATCTATTTGAAATCAATCTATTATGTTAAAATTAGCGGCTTACTAACCAATAATACGAGTAATACTAGTTTACTATTGACCAATCCTAGAGAAAAATATAAAGATTTATTAAAAAGATTGTGGACAATCAAACCCTTATACAGTTAATATACCTACACCCTTTTATTAACTTAACCAACATAGTGAGACTGGATTATTCGGTTATATCATACCGCGATAGCAAATAGTTCATATAGGATGTCGTAAAAATCAATAATTCATGCAAAAAAAGACTTAAAATAGACAATTATATTCTTATATATAATAATTGAACAAAAAACACTTTTGAGTTTTAAGTCATTCAAAACGAACATGTAAATATTATTTTCATACGCGTATAGAGATCGAGTTAGAAAACTCTTGCTAATTCATAACTCAACCTACCTGTATCATTCTGTCTTCGCTTCACTGAACACTCAAACAAACTGCGAGAAGGACGACGCCCGTCCAGTGGGATTATAACCTCCATATTATAGACACAATTTACTGCACACTTTTATATCACAGTGTCGTGATAGAATTCTGTCTCGACTTAGTTTACCTTCGTGACGAGAAATGAACTTTCCGTTCCTGAAATCACAGGAAAGGATTATAACCGAAGTGTTCGACGCTGTATTATGATTTAAGGATTATCTGGACAGATAAATGAGCAAAAAAGTATTAAATTCAATGTGATAAAAATGGATCTATGGCGAATATTAGGTGAGTTTGGTTCTCTATATAATCAAAGATTTAACAATATCTGTTTTTTGATACCAATAGGTGAAGTTTTCAATATCTGATTGTTTTAAAACCATGCGGAGAGAAACTCGCCTGACTGGTTTTCTATGTATACAAATAGTATGGTGGGGTTAAAATGCCGTCTGCCTTCCTGACCGCTTTTCTATGTATACGCTTATATCGATTATTATTAGGGTTACCCCAGAGTGAACATAGAGATTGTTAAACCACGTTCGTGGGTCCCCAACCTTAAGGGGGTCCCCATCCCTAAGAAATAGCATCGACTATAGACGGCACATCTTTAAATCCTCCACTAAATTGACTTACCGAATGCCGGAGAACATTATAAAAAATATTCCTGGGGTAGGGACCTCGTCCTTTTACGACCCCCACTCATCTTGCTGAGCCACTGTCTGTGTGTCAGGTCGGCAAATCATCCCCTCTCTAGTCTATATATAAAGTTAATCATTGATCATTAATCGAATTAAATACGATTTCCTTAGTTTCCCTGATTGAATATGTACTACCGACATTTGACTATAATTTATAAACCAATTCCACTTTAAACCGACATTTGACTATAATTTATAAACCAATTCCCCTCTAAACCGACATTTGACTATAATTTATAAACCAATTCCACTCTAAACCGACATTTGACTATAATTTATAAACCAATTCCTCTCTA